ATTACACTTTACGCAGCAACCAAAAATCATTTCCAACACATGCATGCTACCTATCACACAAGTAGTGCACCTCTTCTATCTATATTATTGTATATTGTTGTGTTTATAGAAAGATTAAATTTATTTTTAAATATCAAGTATTAATATTTTATGTATTGTTTTGTTTGATTTATTAAAAATATCATAAAAATATTATTTATAAAGATACCCTCCATTATTATGATTGAAAAGATGTAAAAGAGAATTTGGGGCACAATTGGATTTTAAATTGAGCTAATAATGTATGCATTAAAATCATTGCATTACTAATATCTAAAAATTTATGATATTCTTAATATACACTTAACACCACAATAGAGTGTATAATCGATATAAACATTAATTGCACATAGGTTAGGTTAGAAAAATGTATCATATAAGATATATATAATAATAGACAAAATTAATGTATATATAATTTTTTTAATACACTCTACTAAATGAACCTTTATTTTTTTACTTTTTAAGTTAGATAACAATCCATTACCACTTAGGGAAATTTGAGTTATATGACAGTTTTACGAGGAGATGAAACAGAGAAACTCAAGCCTTTGACTGTTTAGAATATAATTTATATGTATTTTGGGGTATATTTAGACCTAAAATCTAATTTAATGATTTTGGAGAATCACTTGAACATTGTCAAACAAAGTTATAGAGTCATAATTGTTTATAATTAGTACTGGTAATTATTTATATGAGTAGTGCTACCTTTTTATCCTGTCTCCCTTTCATTTTCATCATCTGCTGAATTGTTTACAATATTGTCATTTGCTTCATCTGTCAACTAAGTTTTGCAAGAAAAATGTAGAATTCGTTATATTTAATTTCCCGCAAACAAAACATTATTGTAGACAAAGTATATTTTCAGCTGTAAATTATCAACTGAAAGTTTTTTTTGACCCTTTCCCATTTTGCAATTTTAACTTTTAAAAATTTCTCATAACCAAAATTTAATTTGAGCAAATGGAAGTGGTGAATCAATCCAAAACAGCCTTGTTAAAAAAGAATGATATACTTTTTTTAAAAATATTTATTAAAAAATAACACCTTTAATTTTGGCAATACTTTAATTTCAAGTGACATATTTAAGGCTATAAAATTAAGAATATTTTAACATTTATAATATAACTTTAATTAAACTGTATGACAAATTGTATTAGATTATTACTTCCTTCGTCCGGTACTGTTTGTCAGGTTGAGCTTTTTGAAAGTCAATTTAACTAATTTTCGAAGTTAAATTAACTTACATTATTCAATATTTTAAATAAAAAATATAATATTTTAAAACTATATAAAAAATATTATAAATGTAATTTTTTGCATATTTATATAATAAAAAAATATATTTATTTAAAATTTTTATAATTTACTTTTAAAAATAAAAATTGTAACAAATAATACAAAATATTTGTGAATACTAATGATTTCCAAATGGGATACCTTTTTGTTGTAAATAAGTGGAAAGGCAAAGTAGATAAATTCGCCTTTCCTAAGTATCCTTTTGGTCACAATTTCCAAGAGAAAAGAACAGAAAAGAAAAGAGAGAATGTTTGTCCCTTCAATATTTTTGGTGTTCATCATGAGTTGCATAATAAGTGCAAGTGTTAGTTATGAAAGCAAGAGCACATCTGGGCATGCAATCTCATTTCCCACCCATGAACACTTGGATGTCAACCAAGCCATTAAAGAAATAATCCAACCTCCTGAAACAGTACATGATAATATTAATAATATTGTGGATGATGATGATGACAATAGCAGATGGAAGCTGAAACTTCTTCACAGAGACAAATTGCCTTTTTCTCACTTTACTGATCATCCTCACAGTTTTCAAGCTCGCATGAAAAGAGACCTCAAAAGGGTCCATACACTTACTAATACTACTACTAATGATAATAATAAGGTAATTAAGGAGGAGGAATTGGGGTTTGGGTTCGGAAGTGAGGTTATTTCCGGTATGGAGCAAGGCAGTGGAGAATACTTTGTTAGAATTGGTGTTGGTAGTCCTGTTAGACAACAATACATGGTTATTGATGCTGGTAGTGATATTGTTTGGGTTCAGTGCCAGCCTTGTACCCATTGTTACCATCAGTCTGACCCCGTATTTGACCCTTCCCTTTCTGCTTCTTTTACTGGTGTACCATGTTCTTCCTCCCTTTGCAACCGCATAGATAACTCTGGTTGTCATGCTGGTCGCTGTAAGTACCAAGTCATGTATGGTGATGGATCCTACACCAAAGGGACCATGGCCCTCGAGACTCTTACTTTTGGCCGCACAGTTATTCGTGACGTCGCCATCGGATGTGGCCATAGTAATCACGGTATGTTTATTGGGGCTGCCGGTTTGTTGGGTCTTGGAGGAGGCTCCATGTCACTTGTTGGACAACTCGGTGGACAAACAGGTGGAGCCTTTAGTTACTGTTTGGTTAGCCGGGGCACTAATACTGGATCAACTGGATCACTTGAATTCGGGCGGGAAGTATTACCCGCCGGTGCAGCATGGGTACCACTTATCCGAAACCCACGGGCTCCGAGTTTCTATTACATAGGCATGTTGGGTCTTGGAGTTGGAGGAGTGCGTGTACCCATACCTGAAGATGCATTTAGATTAACTGAGGAAGGAGATGGAGGAGTGGTTATGGATACAGGGACAGCCGTTACAAGGCTTCCCCACGAAGCCTATGTGGCATTTCGCGATGCCTTTGTAGCACAAACATCAAGCCTTCCACGGGCGCCTGCCATGTCAATATTCGATACCTGCTATGATCTTAACGGATTTGTAACAGTTCGTGTACCAACTATTTCCTTTTTCCTCATGGGTGGTCCTATCTTAACACTACCAGCTAGGAACTTCCTAATTCCAGTGGATACAAAGGGAACATTCTGCTTTGCATTTGCTCCATCTCCATCCAGACTTTCCATAATAGGGAATATCCAGCAAGAAGGCATCCAAATTTCTATTGATGGAGCTAATGGTTTTGTGGGATTTGGCCCTAATATTTGCTAGCCATGCATGCATGCATGTGATTAGTTATAGTAAATTAGTTTCAATAATAATGTATGTCATCATACAAGATATGAAGTATATAAACCATATATATTACTAGTAGTTATGTGCCTATTGAGTACGATCACAAACATTTATGCACCGGCGCCACTATAAATGTCTAAATAAATGAAGAAAAGAGAGATAAATCATGCTTTCTTCCTTCGGCTACATCCTTGAATATATGGGTATCGACTACATATTGGATCTAATCAAGTAGCTTTGATTCAAACCAACCTTATATATGTCTGAAATTGTGCTTTGATCGACAAAAGTCTCGAGGTAGAATATCGAGACTTTTGTATACAGAGTTGTATACACCCTTGAAAATATGGGTGGGACTACAGTTAGAATATTGACTACATATTTGATCCAATCAAGTAGCTTTGATTCAAACCAACCTTATATTTGTCTCACATTTTGCTTGATCGACAAAAGTCTTTAGGTGAATTTTTTATAAGACTTGAATAATTTTCCTTTCTTTAAGCTCGCTTTTTGAATGTAATTTAAACTCAAAATGTAATTTGATAATTTTAAATAAACACTTAAACATTGTCAAACAAAGCTAAGAGTCATATATTATTTGTTTATAATTAATATTAATACTGGTAATTTAATTCATATGAGTAGTGCAACCTTTTTATCGTGTTCATTTTTGTCATCTGCTGGATTGTTTACAATATTGTTGTTCGCTTAATGTATCAACTAAATTTTGCAAGAAAAATGTAGAAATTATTATATTTAATTTCCCGGCCGCAAACAAAACACTAATGTAAAAATTTCAAATTCATACTTTTGAGTACTTTTATATATACTCTCTCCGCTTCACAAAGAATAACCTTATTTGACTTGAAACAAACTTTAACAATATAAAGATGACTTTAAATTTTGTGATTCTAAATTAAAATTAGATTAAATGTACAAAATTGTCATTTGATCTTGTGGCCTTAAACATGCCACGTGAAAAATTGAAATTAAAATGTTAACAAACAAAAAAAGATATCATTCTTTTTTAAACAAATTAAAAAGAACAAAAAATTATTATTTTTTAAACGAATGTAGTATATATTATTTTTAAAAAAACCAAAATATAAATATTAAATTGTTTTCTTTTTCTGAACATTATTATGGCATGTCAACGTTACAGTGAGAGCGAGAGAAAATAATTGATATAATTATTAAGGAATTAATTAATAAGTACAACTTTTAGGTGTAATGATGGTTCAATTATTGGCATGTCTTACATACACCACTTTGCTTTTGTGACATTAATTTCCACTCTTGTTATTTCTTTTGAATTTGGTGGGTTGGCGTTTTGTTCTATTTTAATGCACCCACTTTCTCTCAATATAATAATAATATTTACCTTGGTATTTCTTTTCTAATATTATTTATTCATTTACTGATAGAGATTGTTTGGCAACTAGTATTAGATTAGTGGAGTGTTTCTATGTAATAATTAATTAAATTAATAAAATAAAATCATTCACGCGTTGTTATTAAATTCAAACATGACTTGTTGCGTATAGTAACTCCGGTAATGCGTTCTCATCAAAATTAAGTAGGTGTTGAGATGATATAAAATTCATAGTAAAAAAAAGTACATATAAAAAAAATTGAATAATTTGTATACCAAACTTCAATTCGATATAGTTAAAAGTATTATATTAAAGTTATAGTATTATTGTATTACAAAGATAGCGTTTATATTTTTCTATATGTGAAGGCAACATCTAATAAAAGATCAAAAACTAAAAAGATATTAAAAAAAAAAACAATTGACACCATTGAAAGGCATATATTTGAATTGTTTATTTAAGTCTTTAACTTTCATTTTTGACTTGCATTAATGACTAATGAACCTATTGATATATGACCTTATTAAGGGCCTGTTTGGAATGACATTTTGGCAATAGGATTTAATGTATTTGGTGTAATTATAATGTCTTGTCCTATTTGGAAGAACAAATAATTACTTGGTCAGTAGGTAATTAGTGTAATTGGCAGGATTACACTCTACAATTTGCATGCAGAGGTTGTGAATTGATGGTAATTACGTGATGTAATTACCACTTAATTTTTTTTTAATTTTAATTTTTTTGTTTTAAATTTTTACTTCTATTATTTTAGGTTCTTTTTTATTCTTATTATTCTAAAATTTATAAAACTACATTTTTTTTATTTTATATTATTATATTTCATTTTCTTCTTATTCTCAACATTACTTTACGTGATTCTATGTAAAATTCTCGTATTATCTGTAAGATCCCGAAAATGAGATAAAGTGTCTAGAGCCTAACATGTTTTTCATAAAGTTATAATGTCCTAAATACGCTTAAAATATAGTATATAGGTGGTAGCTAAAATATTAGAGGTATTGGAAGTCGAACGTTGAGGGACGCCTAAGACGTTCGACGACTAAGTCACCTAGATGCCTAATATGTGGTTCTATGTGTTTGTGGGTGTTTAATGATGTTCTAATGTTCTAAAATATCTTATTATATGGTTTAGAGGCAGTGTGAAAAGTTTGAATTGATTTGGAAGTTGAACGTCAAGGGACGACCAAGACCTTGACGACTAGTCGCTTATGTGCCTCATGTGTCTTTGTATGCCTAAATCTTTATGATATGAGTCTAATAAGTCTTTAAAATGGTTTTAAAATGATGTTTTATTGTGTTATACTACGTTTCGTGAAGTTTGGAGGTCAAACGCCCAAGAACGTCCAAGACGTTCGAAAGATAGCCCCAAGACGTTCATCGTATGTCATGTTGGGGCCAAGGCTGTTTGGACGTCTAATAGGTGTTTGTTTTGGATGAAATATATGTGGTAGGTCTATAACTTGTTAAGGTTTGTAATCACGTTGAAAACGTCCGAGTACGACTTCTAAAAGGCCCCACAAGAGGCCTCAAAAGAAGGACCCAAAACCAGTGTGCAGGCTGTCTCAGGCAGATCCTGGCGACGGAGCAGTCAACGGCCAGCCATGGCTGTGATGGCCCGTCAAAGGGTCCCGTCGTGAGGGACTTATCCAAGGATGAACAGAGGAACCTTGGTCAGCCACTGTAGCCAACGACGGAGGCCTGTGATGGCCAGTCGTGGCTTTAACGCCCCGTTAAGGCCCATCCATCGCACGACTGCCTCCTGCGCATGTCTGCTGCCAATTAAAGGGGTGAATGGGAAATTCACCCCACGTCCCTCCTGACTATAGTAGATTTATGTCACTATTTTTTGGTGAATATAAGTCATCAAAAACGTGATCACCCCATTCTAGAATCCTCTAACAAGATTGAAGCATTTCCCTCCAAAAATACTCTCTTTAGAAACCACCATTGTTGGTGAAGCTCAAGAACAAATTCAAGCTGGGTTTTCCATGGATGAATCATCATGTTTAAGAGGTTTTCAACTAGACAAAGGTATGGTGATCTTCATCTCTAGTTATCTTTTCATCTAGAGAGCCATTCTCAATGTTTTTCAAAGAAATCTTATGATCAAGTTTCCGATCTTCCAATCTCGCCATGAGTTCTTTTTAAAAATGTTTTTAATGATTAAATCATGATGAATTGAAGTTAATACAATAATATATATAAAATATTAAATTTAATTCCATTTATAAAGTTTTTCATTTGTTTAGTATAAATTTTAAGTAATTAATTTTAGTTTTTAAAATTTATTATATTTTATGATTGCGTGCATCCAAAGAGAACATGTGTAATTAAAACCGGTCTGTATAATTACTAGACAGTGTAATTACTAGGCTGATAATTGCACTAATTCCAATTCCCAAGTGGCTTTCCAAACAGGCCTTAAGTAAATAATCATTCACAAAATATAAAATATCAAATTGGACTATAATGTCTCATACCAAACACAAATTGAATATCGTAACTAGGGGTGGGTGTTAGTATTCGATTTGGGATTTCTAAATTTCGAATTCAGTAATTTCTAGTTAAAAGTAGATATCAAATATTAAAATTTTGAATTTTGGTTTGATAATTCGGTAATCAATAAATCAAACTTTGGTTTGGTATGATATTCGGCGACTGTATTGAACTTGTAGTTGATTGTATTGCAAATTTAACATTATTATTGAAATTGTTTCTATTTTTCTATATGGATGCATAATATAAAAGAGTATTAACAAGTAAAAGGCCATCAAGAAAACTAAATTGTATAAAAGAGTATTAACAAGTAAGAGGCCATCAAGAAAACTAAATTGACACAACTTAAAGACATGTATTTGGGCTGCTTATGTTTAGTATCTAACTTTCTCTTTGAACTTGTGCTTAGTGAGTTATGAACTTTATATATGGGTTTCATTAAATAAATAATTTGATATTCGAAAAAATAACTAGTATCATATGATTCTAATTTCTTATACCAAACTCAAACACAAGTATCGTAATTCTAAAATTTTACTTCCAAACGCCATATCAAAAATTGAATTATCAAATACGAACTTATCAAGCAAATTAATTAGGCTCAATAATCCGTCTTTAATTTTGATATTCTATGTCCAGCCTTTATTGTAATTCTTACTCCCAAATATCAAATTAGGAAAAAAGTTGATTTCATCTGATAATTCGATTCTCAAAATTTGTGTCTAGACCCAGGGGAAACACATTCTTTCAAGATAAGCCGAAGAAATATTTTATTATTTTGTGTTAAAATTCAATTTGCTAGGATAGTATTTTTTTCTTATATAAGTTTAGGTTAAAACAGACAAAGGAAAAAAGATTTGATAGTATTTTAGCAACGAATGATCTAAGCCGCCACTATGAAATAGATATATTTGCTTACTTTAAGCTAATTTTCCGCTTAATCATTAATATATAATGTTATTATATAATGGTAAACCTTATCACCATCAAAGTACCGCACCTAGCGAAAAAAGAAACATGCCTTTTTGAAGATCACTTGTCTACGTAATAAAGTATAAAACCAAACCCATTGATGACCCTCTAAAATTGACAGCGTAATAAAGTATAAAACCAAACCCATTGATGACCCTCTAAAATTAACAGCAATTTTTATATAGGCACCTCAACTAGACGATGCTTATTTTAGAAACTTTAAGTAGGATCCTATTATGTCATTTAGACAATTTCTTTTGAGTTGACATATTATGTTTCTTACACTACTTTGAGTGTGTGAAAGACATAATTTTATGGTTTTAAAACTTTTTTATCTCTTTTTCTTCCTTCTCTCTCCTTCCCACATTTCCTGCACCATATAAAACCACCTTGCCACCGTTATATATTCAACTTTCTCCTCTCTTTGTCATTTCTTAACGTGGAAAATTAAATCAATTATATATATCAACAAAAATAATTTAAGAAAGGATAAAAAATATGTCTAGAGCATATATCTTCTTTATAACATCAAATTTTTCCGCCTAATTTTTTTCTTAGTTTCATTGCCGGAAAGTTTACTGAATCCTTCAGATTTTTGTTAGTCTATTTTCACCTCCCTTTATTTGAGTTAATTTTTTTCAGATTCTATTTTTGAAATATTAATTTTCGACTTCTCAAAGTTTTTACCTTTTCTATTTTGATGAACCCATTTCAAGTAAATTCATAAATAGATATGATTTTATCATGGATAAATTTTTTTGGGTACTTTGAAACTTTCAAAATGAGCAGTTCCAATAGTGAAGGTTATAGAAGAAAAAAAGAAGAAGATAAATTTAAGGATTGAAGAAATGGTAATAGTATGTTAGTTAAATTATGGGTATTTACTTATGACCCAATTTGGTTATAGATATTTGAAAAAAAAAGATGATAGTAGTGATAATTTTCAAACTTGAAGAAGAAGACATCAAAGTAATAGTGGTTATAGGAGGAGGAGATGTGGAAATGGTGGAAGAGAAAAATAAAAGTATTGTAGATTTTATTTCCCCCCTTTTTTCTTCTTTATTAAAAGGTAATTTTTAAAGTAATTAACTAATTAAGTAGTTTTAAAATGGGCTTTTATTCATAATATTTTTTTAAAATATTTTTTTAAAATATATATGTTACGTGCCATTATTTAATTCTCTACTTTGACATATCTTCGGCAAGTGTAATACACACATCTTATATATTTGGCTGATTACCAAAACGTATCAATATGACACAACGTTCCCCTAGTTAAGGTGTTTAAAATGAATAAGTCCTACTTGAGGTGTCCAAGTGAAATTGATGCCAACTTTAGGTGGTTGCTGATGGGTTAGGCAAAAGTAAAAATATTTACAAATCACAATATATATATGTATGCATGTGTGATATATATATATATATATATATATATATATATATATATATATATATATATATATATATATATATAATACTCATATGAATGTGTAGACATATTAGGAGAGTTATGATTAGAAACGAAGTTACAAGGGACAAAGTGATAATGACTCTCGTGCAAAACAAGATGAAAAAAGCAAGACGGAGATGTTGCAGACATGCAAAGATGAGGTGTGTGTACGCTCTAATAAGAAACCGCGCAACATGAAGTATAAGAGGTAGAGGTAGATTGAAAAATAATCGAGGAGAGGTGATTTGGTTAGACATAGCTCAACTACATATTACTAAGAAATAACACTAAATATATAAAAAGGTATGAAAGTCGAGAAATAGAGTAGATATTTTAGTGGGAGAGATAAGGTCATAACATCATCCCGTCCCCTCCTAATAGTAGTAGTTAGTATCAATCAATTTCTTATTCTCTGTAACAGCCCGTATTACGCATATACTTGTTGTATTCTTGTGATACTGGCTTTACAGTATAGGTGAGGGACCATGTTCCTTATATTATTAGTGTTGATTTAAACTATCCGGGAAAGTGATGTAATGTCTTGCATGTTTCAGCATGTGTACTGTAAGTTAACTCCAACGGAAATATTTAAACTAGAGATAGTAAGGTGGTAATTGAGCTTAAAGTTGAAAGTTAAGTTCTAAGTTGAAGAAAAAGAAATTAATGTTCAGAAAATGGAATAAAATAATTGAGATTCTTGCTTGGATAAATTAAGCTACCAGTTGCATCACCTACTTGAGTTATATGGATAAAGTTAAAGAGCCCAAGTTCGATGGATCAGATTTAGGCCTATATTAATGGGCTCAACTTAAAGCCCAAACTTATTAAAAGAAAATAAAATATGAAAGTAAGCCCAACAACCAATCTTCCAAGGCCCATTACAGTTGAGGCCCAAGTAAAAGCAAGTAGGTTCATCACATAGTTTGACATTTTGAGTTGCTTGATGTACATAAGCAGGTACATCACCTACCTGACCAATTATTGGCTGAAAATGGACCAAAAATTGAGGAGGTTCTAAAGGATATTTTTGTAGTCAGTAAAGCTCCATATAAATCAAATATGATCTGATCTTTTCACCCATTTTAACATATAAAAAAAGGAATTAACTTCAGCTCTCTCTCTTTTCTCTTAAAGCTTAAACCAGCAGCCTTGAAAACTTCTAGGGTTTTTGAAGAAACCCTCATATCTGCAAACCAAGGTAAGTGAAAACACATGTATTTAACTTAATTCTCCCATGGATGATTAGGAAAACATGTTATTCATGTTTAAGTATAAGTACAAAAATAGAATATTTCTAGAAGCTACTACTTACTTCCTTTGTTATTAAGATACTTTTTCTTCTTTCTTTGGTTTAAGTGTGAATGAAAGTTGAAGTTTTAGACGAATTCAAGTTAAACGGAGAAGTTGCAAAAATTGAGGTAAGGTAATTACTCCATTTTGTACTCATTATGTATGATTTTGAGTGAGGAATTAGGGGTGTGCTGTCATGAAGAACTCAAGGGGGTGATGGAGTTCAATAATTGGTTGTATAATAAAGAATAACTGAGGTTGTTTTATGTGAATTGTTTTTAATGTAACTTGGTTAATCTTGGAAAAGGATATATGATGTATGTGTCAGACACAGAATGAGAGTGTGGTGATACGCACTATGTTAAGAGTTGTATGAACTCATTATTTGTCAAAGTTATACACTTTTTTCTGTGTCTCACGGTGTGATATCTGCTAATTTTAGTTTGTCATGACTTAAATTGTAGATTAAAACCAAAAAGGGGAAGCTAAATCGTGATAGTTATATAGGTCAGAGGATAAGGTATGTAAGGCTATTCGATTCCATATTCCTTGGCATGAAATCTGATACTTGATGATTAATATCAATAAAGTGAATCTCTTAAGTGATATTCCTAGTAAAGGACACATAGTGGCTGCGTACTATCTCCAAATAGCTAACAATATTTCTCCCTCTCCTTAGTGACTATAATTACTTCATTATATGTTAACTATTCTATACTTGTGCGATTATTCTCCCATGTGCTGGTATAAAAATGGTCTTTACAAAAGCAAGTTTGGTGAATCCTCCTCTTTGTTATTTGAAGTCAATCGTGTCATAAAGTTCTTAAAGTAATGTGTTGATGTTACTTAGCTCCTTATGTCATTGTTACTGTAACACTTTGAAAATTCAAGATGAGTCTTAAAGCTTAAAATAGGTTATATGAAGTTTAAACACTATTTTAGCACCTATTTTAGTGAATATAGGTCATTTGAGAAGTTTAGGAATCAAAACGTCCAAGAACGTCCAAGACGTTCGAAAATTAGTTCTAGGAGGTACTAGCCTGCCTAAGCCTATTTGGCAAGCTTTTAGAAGTGAAAAATCCATGAAAACTGGTGGAATGGTAGTTAGTAGGTGATTAAGATGATTTGTGGTAGAAACTTCCGGGTATTACTCCCCAAGGACCAACAAAGGTCCCTTGAGTAGGACCCTAGCACGTAGGAGGCAACACTGTCTGGGCAGTATGCAACCACGAGAGGGAAAACTGCGGCTTGTACGTGGATCGATGGGGCGTCAATGCTAACGGTTGACTAAAACTTATCCAAAATGTATGATACCTCTCCTAAACAAGTCTCTGACCAAAACGATGATTGTGCAGCATGGGCGGAGGCCTGTCCGTCGATGGACCAACGACCCGTTGATCGTGATTTCGTCGATGGGCCTGCAATTTTCCTGCACATATTAACTTCATTTTTATTTAATTAGTTAAGGGATTAGGTGGTTAATTAGGGATTTAAGGGAGTCTATTAAGTTAATTAACCCCCATATAAAGACCTCAACCCTCGTTAGATTAAACACAACTTACAAAACAAATCCTTTTCCTTCTCTCTTCTTTCTCTCTCTATTGGAAGACACCATTGAAGACTAGCTTGGGGAATGATTTGGAAACTTTAAAGGGACTATTTCAACCTAAAATATTCATCATACGTTAAGGTAGGAGATCTAATTCTCCTTAGAGACCTCTTTTCTCAAAGGGTTCCTTCAAAAATATTTTAAAAAATTGGGTTCTTCTCAATCTCAAAAATAGGGTTATGAATTGATTTGTTTATGTTTTATATTGGATAATATGAATAAATTAAGTAACTTAATTATGGTATATCTTGATGATTTAGTTTAGTTTTTAGATGGTGACCCTTAATCCTAGGTTTGATATTGACATGAATTAGGTTGAAATTGATTCAATTGACTTGGTTATTGGTTGAATTGCTATTAATTGATTTTGTTACATTAATCATGAAATTTTTTTAGTGTATTGTACTCTTTCATGCTAGTTCTTGATATGATAATCTAGGTTAGGAATCGAATTAACCTAAGTGTCTATCTTAAGCTATGATCTAGTATTAAATTGTGATGTAGTGATTCTCCTAGCCTTGCTATCATGTTGATTATGGAAATATGAAGTTGTACATCTAAATTGGATTTAATTGAGGGTTTATGGTAAGACCTTGATGATTAACTATGATGGAGACTTGGAAGTATGAAGTTGTACATCTAGATTGGATTGAATTGAGGGTTTATGGTAAGACCATGATGATTAACTATTAAGTCATGATGTTATATTGGAGTAAGCCTTGTATTACGATTGATAGGATAGTATGATGTTTAATTGAAATATCTTGACTATGTTGTGAGGTTGATTAAGGTGTATGCATTGTAAGGATGCTGATGACTATCAATGTGCCTTATTATGATATGAAATGCTAATGTGCTAACCTCACTTATATGAATTTTAATGAAAGGACTTATACTCATGCGATTCTTATTGACATATTGATGATGTTGATTATACAAGGGCTAGATCCTATGACCTAAACTAAGCTATGATTGATAATAAAATACCTAAAGACATTTCAATAAAGGGACTCTAGCTTAGCACCGAGTGAACTAGAGTGAGGAGTCTCCCTTCCCACATAGGCACCAAAGTACTCTTGGTACTGGAGACTACAATGCATGGAGCATAAAGAGAGTACCAACTATATCTCCTAGTTCTTGAACTATGTTCCCCCCATAGGAATACTAGCTAGTGGATCCACGTAGTTGCAATGTTTTGATGTTTTGGTACTACCTTGGCAAGTAGTCCACCTTCCTTTGGTGTAGGTTTTTATGACAATGGATTCCACACTAGCTCATGTGGTCTATGTCGGTTAGGGAAAGATGTTCCCAAAAAGTAAAGTGAATTAAAGGATTGAACTCTAACTAGGATAACCTAAGGGGTCTAGCTTAATCTAGGTAGGGGTATGGGACTCTAAATAAGCATTGCACTAGTTAGCTTTGAGGGGAGTCTTAGGAGGATGTTCTTATGTATCTTTATGCTTATGATGATATATGATATGTATATGATGAACTTGCACATTGTTTATACTATATGTTGATTAGGTCACTTATGAGTATGTGTTGGTTTACATTGTTATAGTAAGATGAAATGTTTATCTAAATTTCATGTTATGTGTTGTAAGATGTTAGTCATGATTCTTTTTGGGTTACTTGATTGAGTAAGTTATGGGGCTTTGGTTGGTCATTGCACTTGTTGACTCGATAGGGGTTCATGGGTAATGGTCTTGCTTTGTTATACTGGAGTGTACTCTTATTCATAGTTGTTGTGAGATATGACTTTATGATGGAGTTATTTATATATGTATCTACTTACATGGTATGAAATATTGATATAACTAGACTTGATGTTGTAGTATTGTGATAAACATGCCTATGGCTTAATAAATGTGAAATGTTAATTGGAATGGTCTTGTTGAATGTTCATAAGGGTTTTTTCATAGAAAATTACATAATTTAAGAAATGCCCTTTTCTTAGTGTATTTTATAAGTATATGTGCATATTGTCTCATACTTAGTACAAGTGACATACTAAACCCTCTTCCTTTCCCCCCAGCATTTTAGGTTCTGGTCATAGAAGGCTCATTCTAGACGACTTGAAGAAGACTTGGATATTCTCTACCATCCAAGCGGGTAGGTCCTCACTTTCGTAGGGCGATGACCATATCTACCTTATGGAGTTGATTTTTTTCTAAGATACTTATGTTTATTCAATTTTCATTTGAGTACAATTTGTATAAGCTTATATGTCGCTTCTTTACATTGATGTAGGGCTATGCCCAAATTTCTATGATCATTTAGATGGTATGAGATGAGACAATCCTTAAGACTAAGTTCTATCTTATATACATATATGTTTAATAAAAGTAGAAGACTATGTAAACTTCCTATACGAAGGGTCTATGTGTACTCGATATATATTTATCATATGTATGTAGATGACCTCCAAGTAGAAGTGATAAAAGTTTTCAAATTTCTGCCAAATTTGACTTATGAATAAGTAAGATAAGAGGCTAGTCTTAGTCCTCAAAGAGGACGACGACACCAGTTACATCTAGGGGGTAAACCCGAATGTGAAAAACTTGGTATTAGAGCATAAAGTTGAATTATCTTATAATTAATATCTCTCTCAACCACGTCTGTGTATGTTCGTGTTCATAATTGTGAAGCGCGCCACACTTATGGATAGGAACCTACATGATGCCTAGGAAACTCTCATTTTCTTAGAAATCTTACATCGTGCCATTAGAGTATACTTATGGTGTGCTTTTGCATCTAATCCTATTGTTGTGATTATAGGAAGAATGAGCACTCTGACTTGAAGAGGAAATTGCTAATGTGGGAGCTCCTCCCCATGGTGATCAAGTTCCTTCACTTGAAGAAGATGCTAATATGGAACAAGCTCTGGTCAACCTCCACCCTTAACAGATGGACATATAAGGGCTTCCCTCATCCATTTGGCTCAATCCTCCACTATTCAAGCCCAAGCTATGACGACCTAAGACAATCGGGAAGTTGTACCCCGTCCTCATTAACAAGTTACTACTATGGCTTCCAGTCTAAGGGACTTCACTCAAATGAACCCTCCTACCTTCTACGGGTCTAAGGTTGAGGAAGACCCCCAAGAATTCATCAATAAAGTCTATAAGATACTCTTGGCTATGGGGTTGTCCACAAGTGAGAAGGCCGGGTTGGCTACTTATCAACTCAAGGACATGGATCAAGCATGGTTTGTGCAATGGAGGGATAATAGGCCATTGAGGGATGGTCCGTTGACTTGGGAGATCTTTAAGAAAGATTTTTTAATTGGTTCTTTTCTAGGGAGATGAGGGAAGCTAAAGTTGCGGATTTCATCAACCTTCACCAAGGAGGTATGAGTGTTCATGAATACTCTTTGAAATTCACTAAATTGTCGAAATATACTCCTTCATTGATTTCCGATCCTAAAGATGAAACGAGCCTCTTTGTGATGTGGGTGTCAGATGATTTGCAAGAGGAGTGTCATTCGCCTATGTTACATGACAACATGAAAATTTCTCGTCTTATGGTGCATGCCAAGCATGTGGAAGAGAAAAGAGATAAGAGGAACAGTAGAGATTCCAAGAGGGAAAGATCGTTTGAAGGAGGTTCTTCAAAGAATAGGATTGAGATACAAGACAAGTCTAGGTTTAAGAAGCGGGTTTCAAGTCAAGTTTCTTCCAAGTTCTCTAAGTCTAGTGGTAATAGGGTGTCTAACCCTAAGTTTAAGAAGATAAAAGTTTATAATTCACCAACCGATAAACGAACTTGTGGAAAATGTGGCAAGAAGCACTACGGTGATTGCCTTAAGGGGACGGACAACTATTTTGGTTTTGGTAAAATTGCGCATAAGGTTAGGGATTTCCCTAATGTGAGGGTTCAACACAAGGGTAGTGGTCAAGCTCAAGCAAGTGGTTCAAATTAGACTCCAAAGAAGAACCACTTCTATGCTCTTCGCTCTAGGGTGAGCAAGAGACTTCTTCCGACGTGGTGATCGGTATGTTGAAAGTTTTCTCTATTGATGTATATGCCTTACTTGATCCTGGTGCTACTTTATCCTTTGTTACTCCTCTAATAGAAATTAAGTTTGATATTTTACCCGA